ACATAACATAAGCTCTCAGGCCCAACGGTCACCCTTGTGGCTGTCCTGTGGCTTTCAGTCCACCCAACGTGGACACCTTGAAAAGAAGAAGAAGACTATAGTCAGGGTAAGAAATGATGAATAAATGCAGCGTTCTGTGGTGGACACTGGACAATCATCACACATTCACTGAGCGCCAATGTGAGTGTCTCTACCTTAAGTTCACTTTTGGATTAGCGATGTCCTATAAATAAAAGTTGGAAGAAAAAACCACTGACGTAGTAAATGGTAGTATCACTAGTATGCAAAGTGCAAACCGCGATATTTTCAATCAAACAAAAATACATGACAGTAAAGCCGCGATATTTCATACCTACTCAAATTATATGATGTTAGAGCCGTGATATTTCAGAAAAAAGGATAACGTTTCCCAACTAGCTGAGTAGGGACCATGCCGGATCAGGATGCCGCCATGGTGGCATGGTCCAAGGCCCAAGCAGAGAGTATTTTAGACTCTCCCTTGAGTTTATTTTTGAGTCCCATAAAGTAGACCAGTAAAGTATCGTGAGTACCACCATACCAGCATTATCATACCGTAAAATAAAATGGGGTTACTTTGACTGGCGGGGTAACTTTGACCACTTTTCGTTTTTTTAACAAAGACCCCCAAAACTCAAAAAATATTTGACATAGAAAAATTTTGTCAATGGCCATCAAAGGCCTAATACTGATATTTTGTGACGTTTCATTGTTGCTGACGCGTAGTGAAGTGTTTTGAGAGTCATGTGAAGGCAACAGAACTTACGTAACGCATACGGTTCTTTTTTTATAGCTTTTCATTTCTCGATGCGTCCTTAAAGTGTCGGAATATACCGCGTTTACCCTACCCCCTCCAACTTTTTTTATTTTTTGGTAAAATAACTCCAGGTTTTGATGCATTGTAGTAAAACTCTTCTAGTTACATATGCAATTTTATTTATGTTTCAGACTCTACAGAGTCTTATTCTTATATATGGTAATTTTAACTTAATTTCCAAACCGGCCTATGTTACCCCGTCACGGCTGCCATTAGGTGGTTACATTTTGCCCATTTTGGGGCAGTGCCTCCCATTTGCAAACTATGACACTTTCCTAAAATCTGTCTTTTGTATATGTAAGTAATGTAACTAGAAGAGTTCTACTACAATGCACCACAACCTGGAGTTATTTGGAGTTATTTTACTAAAAAATAAAATTGATTTTACCACCCGGTCAAAGAAACCCCAAGTCCAAGAGCTGGGGTAACAAAGACCATCACTTTTTTTTAAATTACATCAAAACTTTGAGAGGCCGGAGCCAGCAATTTATGGTGTGTAAAGCTAGAGTATAGACCTGTATTTTGCATGTTTCAATTTAAGTTTAACTTATCTAGTTAAAAAATGGCATCATTTAAAAAAAAAAGTGGTCAAAATTACCCCATTTTACGGTACATAAGAAATTGGTTTAAATCTTGAGTAAATGGGGAAATTAAAAATGAACTTAAAAAATCTATGGTTTGCCACTATGCGTTGGTGCTGCAAGATTTCAGAAGCAAGTAGAAAAATTCCCATCCTGCTGATGATTGCAACTGATTTCCAGACAAGCTTCACTGCATCCTTATCCATTTGGCCTACCGGAAAGGCGGCTGAAACCTTACTGTGTGGCGTGTGCGCTAGCGGCTAGCAGTCTTTCAGATTTGCAGTAATTTATAAATCTGAAAGTAATTTCTAAAAGGCAATAATTTCAATCCAAGTGCTTTGGCAAGATCTTCAGAAGGCTTAAATTTTGCTGCTGATGCGTTGCCAAATATCTTTTGGATATTCACCCAATTTTTGCACCCTGAGCAACTGGCAGCTACCACTCCTGGCACTCTATTCTATTTGGTTACCATCCTAAGAAAATAAGGACACTATAATGCAAATTGCAATTTGCAAGCAACTGTGGCTCAACTCTTGTATAGTGGCCCAGGCTCCCAAGTCCCAGCTACCTAACTAACTGCCTTGTATTTTGGTTAAAATTTTACAATTTAATAGACCAAATCCTGATGCTGTCTCCACTTTATTACTTCAAAACCCATGGTGCACATCTTCAAACAACTGCTGGAACTAGCCACCTTCTAAGAAGAGAATGAAAATATAAGTCAGGACAGACTGTGCCTACTGTGTGTAAATTCCGTGCTAATATGTAAATATTAGGAATGACACCATGCACTATGCATATTGAAAATTTTGCTGTTATGGCAATGGCTAACAAGTCTTTCTTGATTGGAATTTTCATACTTTTTAATAAAATTTCATGGCTCAAATGGGACTAATTTTTTTCATATATTTGGAGTCTTGCAGACCAATCATACAGTTTTATTGACAATTGGATAGTAGATAATTCAACTAGCAGGAATCTTATGGTTCCAAGAATGGCGGTCAAGCTCTAGTCATAGCTCAAATTTGAGATAGATTCCATGCCAGCTTCCTTTTAGGTGCAAAAAGTAGATATACCTCCCTGACCTGAATGTGGATTTAAACTGGACTCATTTTATTACTAATGTTTTTTGTCTGTAAAATAATCCATGTTATCCAAATAATCCACCTTTTTGCCTTAATGCAGGTCAGTTGAGGAAACTGTCACTAAGCAGTAGTCAATATGAATGATGACCACAGTGTTTTTGTGAGTCCACTGGGTACTCGGTATGCATCACCTGAAATGTCTTATAACTTTAGTGACAAGAAAAAATTCACAACATGGAGAAGATTGTGGGTGTGGCTAGCTAGAGCACAAATGGTGAGTCAATTTTCTGCATTATTTTTGTATTACTACTGTTTTAAAACAAAATATATGTTAGAAAATATTGTAGTGAATTACGGTACAGTATTGCTAATTTTGTGAAGAAATGTTGATGGATACAAGGTTTTTAAAGTACACAGACATGACAAGAATTCCCTTCAGGGCTCTTTGGGACTTATTCAAGGTATTGCTTGCATATAATTGCATATCTTCTCTGATTTCTCATCTATTAAATCATTTAATTTTGTCAGTTGGTTTTTGTGAATTGAATCCATTCTAACTAAGAACTTTGACATATTTTTATTTTTTTATTTACAGCTATTTTGCAGTATATCAGGTAAATTCTTGTGAATATTTCTGAATATTTTTAGATTTATCTTGTTTAGTGTTGATTTAGTCACTTTAGTGTTAATGCTCTTTCCCAAGTATTATTGTCTCTAGTTTTTCTATTGTGTTTCCTAGTTCAATATTGTTTTAACTAGCTTTACTTTCCTATTGCATATTTATCATTTTACTGATGTATTTATTATTCAAAGGAACTGGGCTTACCAGTGACTGCAGAGCAGGTTCTGGAGATGGAAGGACAAATAGATAATATAGACTATGCTGCGGCAGCTGCAGCTGAGAGTCAGACTCGTCACGACGTCATGGCCCACATCAGAGTTTTTGCAGCTTCCTGCCCTCTTGCAGCTCCCATCATCCATCTTGGTGCAACCAGCTGTTATGTTGGTGATAACACGGTACGTTTGGGTAGTATATGTTGGTGACAATACGGTAGGTTTGGGTATATGTGGGTGACAATATGGTAGGTTTGGGTATATGTTGGTGACAATATGGTAGGTTTGGGTATATGTTGGTGACAATATGGTACATTAGGGTATATGTTGGTGACAAAATGGTACGTTTGGGTACTTTGGTGACAACAGGGTATGTTTGGGTACATTGGTGGCAATCTGGTTTGATGTTGATGACAATACAGTCTGTATCATTCATATAAAAACATTATATATAAATATAGCTTTTCCAGCATTTATTAGGTCAATGTACTTTCATGATTCTTAACATGGAGGAATATTCACTGCAAGTTGAGGTCACAAACCTGCAAATCACTGCTCCAATTTTGCTTTGCTTAATGGCCCGGTCATCTTGCCAACTCTGACCATAAACTAGCACACAGAGCTGGGATCAAATCCACAACTCTCTGCTCCAATCTTGGTACTCTGAAACGTTAACCACTGGGCCACCCTGCCCCATGAGTTTGATGTTGGTGAATACATGGTACATTTTATTCATGTTTCAATGTTAGTGACAACACAGTGTCTCATTCAGAAGTTGATGATGTTCAACATAATTTTATAATTCCATTAAACTCTAGAATACAATCTTACAATTAAAATAATTTTCATAAAACTTAATTCATTCCAGAAAAAGAGAAATTGTGAAATATGACCAATATAGTTTATTTTTGATAGAATATCTTAGCTCAGTTTTTTGTACTTTCACTTAATAAAACATATAATTTCTAAAAATGTCCAATGTATAATTATAATATAAAAGTAAAATATTTTAATTTTGTGCACTGTTTGTAGGACTTGCTGTGCATTAGGGACGGACTAGACCTGCTGCTACCAAAGCTGGCACGCGTCATCTCGAGACTCAGCAAGTTTGCCTTGCAATACAAAGACCTGCCAACACTTGGCTACACCCACATGCAGTGAGTCACTGCTTAATTAGAGAATAATCCTACGTTTTTATTTAATATATTATTTGAAATTAACCAGGAAGTAAAATAATCATATCTGTATCTGGCTACTTGCAGCAATTGATAGTTTGTTTGTTTTTTTATTTATTACCTATATTATATGAAATTTACCAGGAAGTAAAATAAGCATAGTATCTGTATTTGCAGTGTACTTGCAGTGATTGACAGTGCATTTGTGAATGCGTCACCAAGTTTTATTGGTGATGGAACCAATACAAACAAAATGTTTGAAATTCATGCAAAGAGGCTTGATGTCTACTCATATTATAGTGTATTTTTGATGGTTATGTGTTGCATTTGGGTATGTGGAACCATATTAGCTTATAAAGTCCTGCTTACTGAAGGAGTATGAAATTTCATAATCAGGCTAATTTGACCTCAGTTTTTGCTAGATACCAGTAGCTGCAGCTTAAAGGTCTGCCAATTTGTAATGAAGAAATATTTTAAAATTGTATGTGATTTAATGTGGAAAAAATAGGATTTTGTGTCAGCTGAATAGTGAGAAAAAGCTGCTATACTGATTAAATATTAGCTGTATCTAATCTTACAGTACCAATTTTTTGCTTTTTATCACCGTTTTGTAGCATTTTATATAAATTCTGGATATTGTTGTGGTATTTTTGAGGCTAAAACGAAGAGATGTGAATATTTGTTACATTCTTGCACTGGAGTTATCATTTTTGTCTGAAACACATGTATAATTTTTGTCATTTTAACTGATTGTAAAATTATTGCTTTCCCAAATATTGCTAGATATTAAGGATGACCAGATTTATAATGAGGTTTTAAAGATATTTTTTGTTATGCATTAAGATAATGTGATGGTTGACACTAATTTATTTTTCCTATTGAAGAAATGTCATTGAAATAATATTATTTTAACAATCTTTATTTGCCTTTGACTTGAATAAATCACAATCACACTCATTATGATAATCACTTCACTAAGCGACCAACAATGAATGCTAGGCTGTCAAGGCTGTAACGATAGCATGCTCTGTATACCGTATACAATGTCAAGCCAAGAGATACCCTGATACCGGTATTACACTTGCATGTATTCATCTTAATGGTAAGTATTCATCCATGTTAGTGTACTTGATGCCCTGCAATAATGAATGGGAAAGAATTGGAGGAAGGATTAAACCTAAAATTAAGATCTTATTTTACAATTGGTAAATATATTTTAATTTAAAAGTTGCAAAATAGTTCCACATTCTTCATAATAGTAAAATGTAAATCCTATCTTTTATGTAAAATGCGGTTTTGAAGGGGTTGTTATTCAAGTGGGATATATAAACTTTATTAACGTGATTAGGAATGACAGGATTGGGATTCCAAAATTGCATTTATAATTGAGTGGGGAACACCTCTTGGCTAACCTGAATATTTGAATTAGGTTTGAATATTTGAATATATTCCTTCAAACTGTTAATTAGGTTAGAATATTTGAATATATTCAAACCTAATATATATTTGAATATATTTAAACCTAATATTTGAATAACGACCTGAAGTTGATTATTTTTCAGACCTGCGCAGGTGACGACAGTAGGCAAGCGCGCATGTCTGTGGCTGCAGGACCTTCTCATGGACGAGCTCTCCATCAGGAGGCTGAGGGAGGACCTGCGCTTCAGGGGCGTCAAGGGCACCACCGGCACCCAGGCGTCATTCATGCAGCTCTTCCAGGGTGTGCAAGATTATGGGTAGTTAGTATGTTAGGCTTCATATGGTAATTTGTTGCTTTATATTTTGATGTTATTATTCAAAGGTCACGTTCATTTTTTGTTATTATTAATTATCTCATGCTTGATAAGTCTTCTCATGCTGTGACATTAATAATAACAATTTAATGATTAAATTATTATGTAAACAATATAAATAATAAAATGATAAATTTTAACAAAATTAAACATTATTATGATTAATAGAATTTAAGAATTATTACAATTTAAAACTAATAATAACTAACTAATTGATAATAAGTATTCTCATTCTAAATAATTCTCTGACAATTTGCCAGGTGACAGCGATAAGGTAAAGCGTCTGGACGCGCGGGTGGCGCAGCTGGCAGGCTTCGAGGCCGTGTTTGCTGTGACGGGCCAGACCTACACCAGGAAGCTGGATGTGCTGCTGCTCAACGCTCTTGCTGCCCTCGGTGCCAGCGTCCACAAGGTGTCTTGAAATATGGCTTCTATTATGGTTCAAGGCATTGTTCCGTAAGGAAGGGGTATGGCTTCATTTATGGTTTAAGGCATTGTTCTGTAAGGGGGGATATGGCTTCATTTATGGTTTAAGGCTCTGTTCAGTAAGGAGGGGATATGGCTTCATTTGTGGTTTGAGGCATTGTTCCTTGAGGAGGGGATATGGCTTCTGTTATGGTTTAAGGCATTGTTTCTTGAGGAAGGGATATGGCTTCATTTATGGTTTAAGGCATTGTCCCGTGTATAAAATGGGGTGGGATATGGCTTCATTTATGGTGCCAGGCATTGTTCTGTTTATTATTTGCACTAATAAAATATCCTTTTTTAATAAAGTCTCCAACCTAACATCCCACCCTCCCACCACACCCTCTCCCCCTCACTCTCTACCCTGACCTTGCACCATCATATTCTGCCCTCATTTTCTTCCCTCATCCTTTTATCCTCACCTCCTACTCTTTCTCACATCCCACTCTCACTTTCCCCCCTCCTACCGCACCCTCACTTTTTACCCTCCCACCACACCCCTCTTTCTGCCCTCACCTTGTACCCTCACATCCCACCCCAACCTTCTACCCCAATCTACCCTCACCTTGTACCCTCAGATGTGCTCAGACCTGCGGCTGCTGGCGCACCTAAAGGAGGTGGAGGAGCCCTTTGAGGCACACCAGGTTGGGTCTTCAGCGATGGCCTACAAGAGGAACCCTATGCGCAGTGAGCGCTGCTGTGCCCTCAGCCGCTACCTCATGGGGCTGCCCTCTAATGCACTGCACACTCACAGCACGCAGTGGATGGAGCGAACACTGGACGACAGTGCAAATAGGTCATAATTTATTCAATTGCCATCTAAATGAATGCATAATATTTTAGTTTTTTCCCCCAATGCGACAAATAAATGAATTACGCCATCATTTACACCCTTACTCTGACTCTTCTTGAATAAATTACAAGTGAATTGCAAAGTTAATTCCGCGTAAGAACTTGTAATAATTATCTACACCTTCCTCCAGACGGTTAGTGCTGTCCGAAGGGATGCTGTGTGCTGACGGTCTGCTGCTGACGTTGCAGAACATCACCGAGGGCTTGGTGGTGTACCCTGCGGTGATCAGCAAGCACCTTGCTGACGAGCTGCCATTCATGGCCACCGAGAACATCCTCATGGCGGCCGTCAGCGCTGGTGGCGATCGTCAGGTGAGTCATATGGCTGACGAGCTGCCATTCATGGCCACCGAGAACATAACATGGCATAACGATGTCGGCGCTGAAGTGTAGGCCTGATGTGGCCTATCGCCGATTCTTACTTTTCGTGACTTGTTTACAGAAGATCTAAAATCGTGTTATTTGACCGGATCTTTTCAGGACTGACGATAGTTTGAAATATCTACGGTACTAGACTTCAACCGGGTTCGATATGGTGCGAGGCATTTCAAATCTGAACATATCTTTTTCCCATAGCTTTGCCTAGTCTGTTCTTGAACGCATTCATACTCGGATCGCCAACGACGTAATCGGAGAGGCTGTTCCACATAACATAACATCTAGGCCACTGGTCGCCCTACTCAGAGCAAGAGAATATGACCAGTGAAGGACACATCTCAAGATGAGCGGTGGACGCCACGCACAGAGACACTGCAATTGCACGCGCAGCCAATGTGTGAAAAGACACCGCGAGCCAGGAGAGAACGCTCGTTGGGGTCCGCCCCGGTTAGGAGCGAGGACCACTACGAACGATTCCAACCAAAATCACACGAGTTTCCACACACACGCAACCAACGCGGCCGTCAATACTGGTGGCCTCCGATTTTTTATTAATTTTTGTTTGCCAATCACTGGTAGCTTTTAAAGCTAAACCCACCAATCAGAGACTAGAAATCAGCCGCTGTCTGTACTTAGGCTGCTATGAGGGCTTAGGCCGTTACGTGTACATTGGGCGCTATGTGTACATAGGCCGCTACCTATGTACTTAGGCCTGTACTATATGTACTTAGGCTGCTGCCTGTACTTAGGCCGCAGCCTGTACTTAGGCTGCTGCCTGTACTTGCGCCGCTGCCTGTACTTAGGCCGCTACGTGTAATTAGGCCGTTACGTGTACATTAACAGCTACGTGTACTTAGGTCGCTACGTGTACTTAGGTCGCTACATGTACACAAGCGAGTTTTCACAGCACTGCCCCTTTGCAGGAATGTCACGAGGAGCTGCGACGACTCAGCCAGGCTGCAGGCGACGTCGTCAAGAAGGAGGGACGCGACAACGACCTCGTCAGGAGGGTGAAGGAGTCCCACGTCTTCCTCAGCCTCGCCCTTCCCATTGACGACCTCGTCCAGCCCTCCAGCTTCGTCGGACGAGCTCCCCAGCAGGTCAGGAATTATTGTTATTTTTTTAAGCCTGTAGCAGGCAAGACCTATTATTTGGATAATTTGAAAATTTATTCTTTGCTCCGAAAGTGTTTTTTTAATATTTTTTACTCGTTATACATGATCCTTTAACGGGCGACTTATTTATCCTTATACTTATTTATTTACATTAAGCTTACTTAAGCTTATTTAATCTATTAGGCTTACTTATTTGAGCCTTATAAGCTTATTTCAGGGTTATGAAACGAAATAATTGTCACTTATTCCATCAATGCTACTTCTTGTTAATTTTTTCCAGTTATTCCACGAATTTCTACTTCGTACATATGTACTTAAATTTATTTAATGATTTGATGATAACTTTATTTTCACATTTATTTGAGTGTTTTTGCTACAGGTGCCTCTATTATCATTTCTGCTATCATTTCTACTTCGTGCATACGTAATAAAATTTATTTAATGAAAACATTATTATCACATTTATTTGGGTTTTCTGCCACAGGTGCTTCTATTATCATTTCTGCTATCATTTCTACTTCGTACATGTGTACTTATTTGATTAATTTATTTATTTAATGATAGCATTATTGTCACATTTATTTGTTTTTTCTGCTGCAGGTGCAGGAGTTCGTGAAGGACGAGGTGGCGCCGGTGCTGGCGCGCTACGAAGGGCAGCTCGAGGGCGAGGTCGCTCTTAAAATATGAGGCCTTATTGTATTTATCAACAATTATTTATTATCAACTCGGGTATTAATTTGGTCAGTGGAATGTGTTGTTAATAAAGATGGAATTCTTCCATAAATGAAATTGATCTTTTTTAATAAAACAGTGAATATGTTTTTTGAAAAATTTATCCTTATATTTTTATAGAGATGAAGATCTTACAGAAATTGATCCGCTTATCTTGTTAATAAAGATGCATTCCTTCACAAATGAAACTTTCTACTTATCTTGTTAATAAAGTTGAAAACTCACGAACTGAAAATTATTTTATTTATCTTGTTAATAACAATATAAACGTTACCGAATTTCCCTCTATCTTGTTATGATAGAACTTTCTTAAAATGAAACCTTCCCGAACTTTCCTCACAACTCTCATAAATTTAACCTCGTATGTTGTTATTACACAAACAAGCCTTACTAGTTTAAGACTATTGCGGAAAATAATGTAATTACGAGTTTACTTTTTTCTTGCCCGTTATGCATTTATTTGCTAATGCTTACTTAATTCTGCATTAATGACTTGTCTTATCACGAAAATATCGCACTGAATGATAGGAGATAAATATGAGCGCCTGGTCGCCGTATTCCTTTTGAATGAAAAACTTGAAGAAATAATAGCGGTTTCAACGTTATTAGGCCGTAGGCCTGTCGCCGATTCTTAACATCGCAGAACATTTACAGCATTTTGAGGTTTCGAACTCGCAACGCACTGCTACAATTCTGCTGCGCTTAACCGCCCGGCCTCCTTGCCGATTCTGACCAGAAACTGGCGCACAGAGCTGGGATCGAACCCGCGCCTCATTGCTCCAACCTTGGTACTCTGAACTTTAACCACTGGGCCACCCTGCCACAACTTTTTAAATAAATTCTATTTTTGCCATTGTTTGGGCCATGTGACCCAGTCTGACTCTGCAAGAGGGCGTATTATTGGTTTATTGCTACGTCCGCTCTCTGCTTGTTCTATAGGTGAATAAGTGAATGCATTTATTTTTTTAGTGTAGAAACAAAATCTCGAATCTTGAAATCGAAATTATTATGCTTGGCTGTTCTCTGCTGGACTCGGACTCAAATTATCTTTAATTTTTTGTTCACTTTCATTTTCTGTACCAGCTATTTTGATAAAAATTTGCGTCCTGATAAACTTTCTGCGTCTCCGTGTATCATCTTTTGACGTCATAGATTCTTCATCATAAGTATCTTAATTGTTAAGCAAGGTCCCCCTATTTAATACATTTTTTTGTAGAGTGGGAATGTTCGGTAAATCTACGGGATTTGGAACGATGTTTTCGAAAACTTGATGATGAGAGTTCAAACAAAAAGTGCAGGTGATGAATATTTTTATGAATTTTTCCGGTTATTGGAAATATATTGAAAAAGTATTAATTTTAAAATAAATAATTTATTCATCAGTTGAACCTTGTCATGAGCATCCTATTGACACTCTAAGAATATCAACTACCAAGAATTGATAATATTAATTAATATTAATAAATAGAGCTCGGTAAATAATAAGATATAGAGCGTTAATTACTCATAAAATTTATCCCCGTGCGATGAGTAAATTTGCAAACTGCCTATATATTTTTAATAAATTCTATTTAACTTCTATTACCTATTTAAATGAAAACCGCCTGCAAGGTGTAACAATGTAATTGTGTTGTTGGGGTATTATTTTCTCGAAAAATTATTTTATTGAATTCGTTATACTTAGAAGCGGAAAATTGTTCAGTGTGTGATAGCCTTATTTTGCTTTTTGAGTTAGGTCTTCGTGTTGAAATTAATCTCTACTATACAATAGGTCGAATAGGCACGCTGTCGCTTACTGGAAACCTGCATTTCCGGAAAATTCTTGGAGTCCGATACCCAGACAATACTTCGAAAAAAAAGTTAGTTGACGAGTGTAAAAACGGGTTAGTAAATAAGACAATAAGAGTGGGACAATAAATTAATAATAAGAGTGGGGCAATAATTGCGGAGAGATTGATTATAAAAGAAAGAGAAGATAAAAATAATTGGGGAGAGATTGAATATAAAAGAAAGAGGTAAAGAAAAGATTGTAGGGAGAGAGGAAGAGCAAGTGAGAGAGGGAGAGAGCCTAACACGCGCGTACGTACAACCTCGCAAGCAGTCGTTGACTGGCCGTTGTCTCAGTCGCAACCGCGACGGCGACGGGGTACGATGTTGCCAGAGTGAGCGCGTGTGAACACGAAATGAACATGAATGATTCGTGATCTCTTCCCAGTGAAAATATTCTAGTGGGAACCATATTTCTAAGTTATTTCCAGGTCAAAGAAAACCGGCTACGAGTGTGTACAGTGTCATTAATGTAAACCCCATTAATTGAAGTCAGTGATATCAATGTTCTGTTTCTTATTTAAAATGTTGACAGTTAATGATACCCTTTCGGTAACGATCGTGACAGCTTGAGAAAAGGAAAAAAATTAATAAGATATGGCAAAATTTTTGGTGGAAAACAAAAATTCATTTGCTATCTTCATCAAATTTTTACGTGACTAGTGCGAACAGCATAGAATGCAAAGTAAGCAAGTAAGGTGGTAAAGATGATAGTTTTAATATCAAAACAGACTTTGTATTCCAAACCAGCGTTATGTGAGCCCCAGGTATATTAAAAAAAAACTAGAAAAAATTATAATCACCATCGATGATCATTGGTAAGCTAATGAACCTTCTGAAACCAATGCTTCATCGTGTACTTTATCTTGCACGAAACGTTTTGTGGCTACGACGTGTAATTGTCTTGAAGATAACTGCTCACTTCATCAGCGGTATGAGTGATTTCTTACATTTCTAAGGATAAGCAGACTAATATAGAAACATCTTAGCCATTAATTATGTCATATACCAAATTTTCATTACGGCAAAATTTTAGATGGCGTTCACTGATAGATTTCATTGCTGTGTCCATGTGTTGAAACTGATGCTCAAAATGTTATGTTGCACACGCTCTACATTAAACTGAACTGTATTCGAAAGTTATAATCATATAATTTATAAAAACTTGATCTAAAATATAACTGATCAAAGAATGATTATGATCGAAGTGCTGCATAATTCAATAGAAACTGCATCAAGATGGGTGATAAAACGTTGATAAGAAGAACTCGATTTCGACGTCTGAATGCATGAAGGCTTTTGATAATGAATGACCATGACAAATGCTATTGTGAATGAGGGATGTTCATCCTATTGTGGATGAGGCATGTGCATTCTATTGTGAAATGTACGGAATTGTAAATTATAGACGTAGCATCGTCGGCCAACCGGTTACATGTACCTTGTTCCTCTACGGCCTACGCCATCGAAAATTTCTGAAGATTACAAATGTTCATTGGTAACTTAATATGGCACTATTGTAATTAATAGATAAATAGGTAAAAGTAATAGACGAATAAAAACCTAATTTTTAAATCGGCTGAATTACATTTACGTAACGTAACGATTAGAGCACTTGAATGTATTTATTTTTGGAAGTTGCAAAATCTGCTCAGGACTGAAAAATATAAAACTATACCGTAATCGACTACGTAGAATTTGAAAATATAAAAAATTCATGCAATTATTGAACAATTTAAGGAAGTTTTTCAAGAGTGCGCGTGAGTAACAAAAAATATCCTAATTGTATATAGGACGAGACTTGAAGGTTAGACTTCATGCATTAAATAAAAATATGGCAAAAACGATTTCAAAAAAAAATTATTGCGGAAGTCTCTATCTGGAGCAAAAAATTTCTACGCACCACTATTTAATATTCCTCAAAAACAACACAAGTTATTTTTTTAAACCCAACGAAAGTTGGCACATAAAAAAAGTGATTTTGGATCTAAAAATAAACAAGAAAATATTTGAAAAAAAGTCGATGAAATAGTGAAAAATTTTCACACGTCGCACAATACGCATAATAGCAAAGTTTTGGTTTTAATAAAGCATGAGTACCCTATTTTAAAGCACGAAATAGTCAATACCCTGACCTATAGTGAGGGCAACCGTCGTGATGAGGGCAACCGTCGTGATGAGGGCGATCGTCGTGATGAGGGCAACCGTCGTGATGAGGGCAACCGTCGTGATGAGGGCAACCGTCGTGATGAGGGCAACCGTCGTGATGAGGGCAACCGTCGCGATGAGGGCAACCGTCGTGACGAGGGCAACCGGATAAATCTATATAGATTTGTAGATTATTTATTTATAGATATAGATTCTCGGGTAAATCTGTAGATTTAGATAATTTAAATTATTCCTTTTTGAACCCGTAGTAAAACCAAATGTGACTGAAGACCAGAAATACATACTATGCGTGCAGACATCAAACATCACAGACCATTCACGTTAAATGCTCCGTTTGGATTCATGCAAAGACCGCGTTAACAGACCATAGGTCTTTTAAATAATAGTTTGTATACAAATTAGAGTTGATATTTATCGTCAATTATTTTATATCGGAACTTAATTTTATTTCACTAATATAGTCCGAATGAATTTTGGAATTCATATATGTGGCAAATAGAAATGAATATGCGAATATAATGCCTCTGCATTAATTTTAAATAACATTGCTGAATCTTGGTTCCTTCTCTCACCGAGCAACTTCGATAAAAAATATCACATTTTGTTAAAAACGGAATACATTTAAAATATTTTGGAAATTTTTGAAGTAAAGAAATATTCGTACCCTGTATACGATATCGTGTGCCCTTGCATGCCGCTCCCGGGCACTAAACTTCATGTAAAATGTAAAAGTGAATTCGACAGTCCATTTTGAGATCATTATGAACTAGTTAAGTGGGCCTATATGCCGAACATGGATCCTTAACTGGGCAGTTAGACAACAATATTTCACTTCATAAACGCAGATTCGATAGAGTCACCATCGAAAAAAAAACATGGCTTGCTACAGAACATGCAATTTCTGCTGACTATTCCCTAGATAGTTCCGTACTCTACATTGTGGCGGCCTATACTTTTAAAAAAAGTTAAGAGATCGTAAGTTCATCAGCCAATCATTGACGGCCTTTCAAGCAAAATTGACCAATCATAGACAAGAAAATAGAGCGTAAGTACTTACGTTCACTTAGAGAATTTTGAAAGTATGGCCCCGTTCTAGAAAATTATTAGGTCATCCTACACTCAGGAAAATGAGTCGTTGTTTGCCTAATTATCGATGTTTTTCTCGTTCCAAATATCGAATTTTTACTCTCCTCGAATGTGGGTTGTCCTGACCGAGTTTGGCCCGGCAAAGGATATATCAATAATTCGTTCGCTCTCTGCTCATGCTGTGGGCGAAGAAGTGAGTCATTTTTTGGACAAAATTATACAGGTATTTTTTTTGACTGTTTGTGGTCATCCAAGGTGACGATGCAACTAAAAGGATATTTAAAAAAATATAACTCAGTACTCACTGCAGTGAGTGACAGAGAGTGCATTTTCTCGTCGACGAAAACTTGAGGTCACGGACAGTCAGACGGACAGACGGACAGACAGACGGACGGACGGACATGGCGAGCACAATAGTGCATTTTTCCATAAATGAGAAAATGCGCTAAAACATACAGATCTCGCATGCTTGCTGCTTCTGTTCACCCTACACGTGGGATTGACGTACAATTAACCGTCCAATTATAGATCGTACGACATATAGATCATTCATGATCTATACCCTTAAGAATTGAGTGCTGAGAGTGAATGTTTAGGACGTTTTTATGACATTCTGACGCATAAGTTTCCAGGGCCTGACCCACAAAAACTGACAGAAGATGGTGACCCACCTTGGACTACAACACATGTTCGGTGCCGTCTCCAAATTTGTGGAATTGGACCGCGTAGAGCACAACTTTTCCTTGACAGTCGTTATCATTTGTTCAGGCATTAATTAATGAATTTGAAACATAATACTTTGAATAAATAAAATTTCTACTTCAAGAACTTAATTAAGGAATTTAAAACTTAATAATTTGAATAAATCAAATTTCTAATTCAAGAATTGAATATTCTCTAATGTAAAATATAATTAAGCAATTAATTAAAATAAGAATGTTAATTAAATGTTTGATGGATTTTAGGCTTTTAAATACAGAGGCTTGCATGGCAGTGGCGAAGCTTTGACGTGCGAGGCACCGACACATGAATGTTATTTATATAGCATGAAAATATGATCTGTTCTACCAGTAGAATCTACCTTCACTAACGCTAGCATTTACTGTCGTTACCAGGAGAATCTATAGCTTCACTAACAGTAGTATTTACTGTCGTTACCAGTAGAGTCCATAGCCTCACTGACAGTAGTATATACTGTCATTCCCAGTAGAATTTATAGCTTCACTAACAGTAGTATTTACCGTCTTTACTAGTTGTATCTACCTTCACTAGCAGTAGCATTTACTGTCGTTACCAGTAGAATCTACCTTCACTGACGCTAGCATTTACAGCCGTTACCAGTAGAATATATAGCTTCAATAACAGTTGTATTTACCGTCGTTACCAGTAGAATCTACCTTCACTAGTAGTAGAATTTACTGTCGTTCTCGGTAGAATCTACCTTCACTAGCAGTAGTATGTACTGTCGTTACCAGTAGAATCTACCTTCACTACCAGTATTATCTACCATTCAGTGAGGCAGAGTAACTGCCTTTGGTCCCATTTTTAGGTCACAGTTCAAAGGCCTGTTGGTTTGTTCAACAACTCAATTGGCAGCACAAAGACACAACGAGTCTCACTAACGACCGCTCATTAGCTCTCAATAACCAATTAAGTTAACAGCGTCTGAACAACCGATACAACAAGTCGTTAACATGTCAAAACGGCATAGGCTAATATCTAATTAAAATGTCACATCTGCTTAACAGCTCATTAACATGTCTAAATTGTAGAACATCTCATTAGCATTATGAGTAGTTTCATTAAGGATATGTTGCATCACGCGTTACTGTACAACACATCATGCGTTACTGTACAACACATCATGCGTTACTGTGCAACACATCATGCGTTACTGTGCAACACATCATGCGTTACTGTACAACACATCACGCGTTACTGTACAACACATCACGCGTTACTGTACAACACATCATGCGTTACTGTACAACACATCACGCGTTACTGTACAACACATCACGCGTTACTGTACAACACATCATGCGTTACTGTACAACACATCACGCGTTACTGTACAACACATCACGCGTTACTGTACAACACATCACGCGTTACTGTACAACACATCACGCGTTACTGTACAACACATCATGCGTTACTGTACAACACATCATGCGTTACTGTACAACACATCACGCGTTACTGTACAACACATCACGCGTTACTGTACAACACATCAAGCGTTACTGTACAACACATCATGCGTTACTGTACAACGATCTAATACTATAATACAATGCGTATAAACGATTACTGTGTTTGTACATCTGTAGGTTAAAAAAAATCGAAATAAAATGATTATTAGTGTATAAATTAAAAATTTTAATAAAAATCGAAGTTTGTAATAATTCAAAATGTAAATGAATGTAAAAGTTTTCTTGCGTACGCCTGTGAAATGCGTATGATAAACTCTGCGTATATAAATACAAGTTTATAGACGAGACATTGTCTATGTACGTGTGTGTACAGAGTTGTACAGTGTACACGTAGTCTGGGCCTCGGTACAAGTGTTACAGTAGACACAGGTGTCTGTACAAGTGTACATGTGTACACTTGTAGAGTACATCAGGGCAGCTATGGCGGGGCTACAGATGTGGTACTGTAGCTGTGGTACTGTAGCTGTGGTACTGTAGCTGTGGTACTGTAGCTGTGGTACTGTAGCTGTGGTACTGTAGCTGTGGCACCGCAGCTGTGGCACTGCAGCTGTGGCACCGCAGCTGTGGCACCGCAGCTGTGGCACCGCAGCTGTGGCACCGCTGCTGTGGCACCGCAGCTGTGGCACCGCAGATGTGTTACCGCTCTTCATAGCGCTGGTGTGAGTGGTGATTTTTTTGTGTACGCTAACGAAATTTTTTTAACGTTTAAAATGATGTCCATTTCAGAAAATATTTGTGCCTAAAACAAATTTATTTTCCCTAAAGTTATTTAATTTCCTTAACTCGGATATAGGAGCATTATAATTACTGTATTGTTATAAGGGCTAAAATAATGTTAATATTACCAATGTACAGTAATGAACTGATCTGGACCAGGGGGGTGCAGTAGTATAGGTAGTCAGTAGTGATTAAATTGTTGTGGCAGACATCTTCTAGAAAAAACAATCTAGAGGCGAGCAATCTAGGGACGAACATTCTAGAGGCGAACAATCTTGAGACGAATAATCAAGAGACGAATAATCTAATGAACAATCTAGAGACGAACAATCTAGGGACTAACAATCTAGAGACGAATAATCTAGAGACGAACAATCTGGAGACGAACAATCTAGAGACGAACAATCTAGAGACGAACAATCAAGAGACGAACAATCTAGAGACGAACAATCTAGAGACGAACAATCTAGAGACGAACAATCTAGAGATGAACAATCTAGAGACGAACAATCTAGAGATGAACAATCTAGATACAAGATTTCACCGGCACAACTAAGGCATACAAAACCTATTTTACCGCGACATGTTCTGCCCAATTCCAAATTCTAAGCCGAGACCGGCACAGATCTTGGCCAGATTTAGTCGGCCTGAATCATGAAATAATAACCTGCCATTTATTAATATTAATAATAACCTGCCATTTATTAATATTAATAATAATAACCGACTGTTTATTTATATAACCGCGCTGCTCCATTCACTTAATAGAGAAAAAGTCCTACAGCTCGACAGGGTCGGAATGCTGCGCGGTGATTGTGCTGACACGTGGGATTCGCGGCAGAAAGACAGCTTTAATTTTTTAACCTGAATTAACGTACTTAATTCAGTTAGTTAATTAACGCAGTTAATTCAGTTAGTCAATTAACGTAGTTAATTCAGGCACGGCAGTCCTTATTGTCCCTACGGCAGTCTTTATTGTCTCTGTATTACGTCCACACAGCAGTCCACACAGCAGTCCACACAGCAGTCCACACAGAAGTCCACACAGCAGTCCACACAGCAGTCCACACAGCAGTCCACACAGCAGTCCACACAGCAGTCCACACAGCAGTCCACACAGCAGTCCACACAGCAGTCCACACAGAGGCTTGGCCTAGCGTCGCCCTGGTTACGCGATCCATACGAAGCCATCGACCTGCCGCATGACCTGGTCCTGTGTGGCTCTGTGTGGCTCTGTGTGGCTCTGTGTGGCTCTGTGTGACTCTGTGGGGCTCTGTGTGGCTCTGTGTGGCTCTGTGTGGCTCTGCATGGCACTGCGTGACTTTGTATGGCTCTGTGTGGCTCTGTGTGACTCTGTGGGGCTCTGTGTGGCTCTGTGTGGCTCTGTGTGGCTCTGTGTGGCTCTGTGTGGCTCTGCATGGCACTGCGTGACTCTGTATGGCTCTGTGTGGCTCTGTGTCACTCTGTGGGGCTCTGCGTGGCTCTGCGTTGCTCTGTATGGCTCTGTGTGGCTCTGCGTGAATTTGCGTGGCTTAGCGTGGCTCTGTGTGGCTCTGTGTGGCACTGTGTGGCTCTGCGTGGATCTGTGTGCCTCGGACAGGCTCTGAGTAATTCAAAGAAGTTCTGAGAAGTCCTTAGAAGTTCTAGGAATTTTTTGGTCACTTTCGTATATCCTGACCTCATCCCATGACTAGCATACACCCCTGACCCCAGGTTAACCTGCAACTCTCGTATATCTCACGACGCTGCTTGATAAACCTGCTGGATAAACCTGCTTGATAAACCTGCTGGATAAACCTGCTGGATAAACCTGCTGGATAAACCTGCTGGATAAACCTGCTGGATAAACCTGCTGGATAAACCTGCTGGTATCTTATGACGACGCTGGATAAACCTGCGTTAAACCTGCTGGATAAACCTGCTGGATAAACCTGCTGGATAAACCTGCTGGATAAACCTGCTGGATAAACCTGCTGGATAAACCTGCGTATATCTTATGACGACGCTGGATAAACCTGCGTGTATCTTATGACGACGCTGGATAAACCTGCGTATATCTTATGACGACGCTGGATAAACCTGCGTATATCTTATGACGGCGCTGGATAAACCTGCGTATATCTTATGACGCTGCTTTATAAACCTACGTATATCTTCTGAAGACTCTGGATAAACCTGCGTATATCTTATGACGACGCTGGATAAACCTGTTTTGTTAACCTACGATCATGGTTGAACCTTTTATCACAGGCTAAACAGGTAATTGGGCTTGATCTGCGTTGCCTTTGGTTTAAATTTTACTCACGGTTATCCTGCACAAAGCGTTGCCCTGCCACGACTCAACCCTTACAAATCTCCGGTCTTTCTGAAACATTTTGAAAAAAATATAACTCAGTACTCACTGGAGTGAGTGACAGAGAGCGCATTTTCTCGTCTACGAAAACTTGAGGTCACGGACAGACGGACGGACAGACAGACAGACGGACATGGCGAGCACAATAGTGCATTTTTTCCATAAATGAGAAAATGCGCTAAAAAGTGTTATAAGATTGACCGTGCTGTGATATTGTTACTTATGGCAAGTCACGCCTAACACGGTCACACCGGCATTATTTCATGTCAAAAACAACAGGCGCTTTAGTAAAAACCTTTGGCCAGACTGAGGAACACGGGTAAGCTTCTAACCATCTTAACCTTTCAAGTTAAAGTGAAATATATCGTACAAACCTTCTGACTAATACCTTGGGGCACCGCATGACGATGCTGGTGCAGGCAAGAAAATTTAATATATGGAGGTAATGGAAGGAAATTAATGCAGGGAAGGTAATGGAGGAGAGGTAATAGATGAAGGTAATGGAAGGAAGGTAATGGGGAGAAGTAATAGATAGAGGTGATTAAGGAAAGGTAATGGACGGAGGTTATGGAGGAGAGGTAACAGACGGAGGTTATGGAAGGAAGGTAATGTAGGAGAGGTAATGGATGGAAGGTAATGGGGGAAAGGTAATAGATGGAGGCAATGGAGGAAAATTAATGGATCGAGGGAAGGCAATAGAGGAGAGGCAATGGATAGAGGCAATGGATGGTGGTAATGGAGGGAATGTAATATGGAGGAGAGGTAACAGATGTAGGTAATGGAAGGAAGGTAATGGTAACATCTCTAATGGTGCGAGAATGGTGCAGCTTCAGGTGTGAGTGCAGAGCTCGGGTGTCGGTAAGCTATTGTATTTCTGTTACGAATGTGACAACGAAATGATGTACAATGTTGAGACACAGTACATCAATGAAACATACACGCCCTTTAAATTTATCAGCGTGACATGCGCGTGATGCATGAATAATGGCGAATAGTAGCACAGTGAATAATGCGTGGTGCATGAATAATAGTGAATAGCATAGTGAATGAATGAGTGGTGCATGAATAAATAAAAGTGAATAGCACAGTGAATGAATGCGTGTTGCATGAATTATGGTGAATAGCACAGTGAATGAATGCGTGGTGCGTGAATGATGGTGAGTAGCACAGTGAATGAATGCGTGGTGCATGAATAATGGCGAGTAGCACAGTGAATGAATGAGTGGTGAATGAATAAAAGTGAATAATAGCACAGTGAATGAATGCGTGGTGCATGAATGATGATGAATAGCTCAGTGAATGAATGCGTGTTGCTGATTGATGGTGAAAAACACAGTGACTCTGCCATACTCGGGTCCTGCAAGCGTGTTGTGGGTGCGTGTTGCGTGCAGTTAATTAAATGTCACGCACACCCAAGGCATGCGCCACGCAATGAGCAAAAAAATATTTGAGGACAAAAGACGAGCGGATTTCACGCACAATTATTATACGCATGAAGAGAGAAGATTTTCATAAGGACAATGCGAGCGATCACGCGCGTGATATATCGCGCGTATCAAATAAATCGTGTCGCGGAATGTCGCGTGACGACGCATTGTCACGCAATATTTTTAGCGCATTTTCTCATTTATGGAAAAAATGCACTGTTGTGCTCGCCATGTCCGATGTCCGTCTGTCTGTCCGTCCGTCCGTCTGTCCGTCCGTCCGTGACCTCAAGTTTTCGTCGACGAGAAAATGCGCTCTCTGTCACTCACTGCAGTGAGTACTGAGTTATATTTTTTATACGTTTGCTGTTACATGCGCACGTTATGCGTTGTGAGGAGTCACAGTTGCTGTCACAACTGCTGACAAACCTTAAATGTTTCACTATGTGGTTGGTCGTACGAAGCAACGTACTCATGTACGAACGTTACTTCAAGCTACGAAGAACCGTTTTAAGTTCGTACAAAGCAATGTACGAACGTTTGGTGACTGTACGAAACTTCGTAAACACGTACGTACCTACCGAGACTCCATAAAATAATGCCCACTAGTCATCTGACGTTGAAATAACGTTTATTAAATTAAAATAATGACCAATAGTCATCTGACGTTGAAATAACGTTTATTAAGCGTTGTTTCAACGAAATCAACCCATAATTTACGTTTTTTCAACGTCAATTGCCTACAGGGAACGTACGTACGAAGGTCATAGTGCGGTTCACTGGCACGAATTGCCTGAAACGTTCACTTCGTTGCAGGGCAAACGCCCTTCGTTTTGCGTCAACGTCGATGTTAAATAAAAAAATTTTGCGAATTCATTTCGATTGCATTCGTTTCCTAAAACATATTTCCTTTTCGCCTCCTAATTTAAATTTTTCAGGAAGTTCAAGCCGTGTTGGTAAATTACGTAGAAACGTAACGTAACGTTATCAACGTAACGATGAGATGACGTAAACCGATGACGTAACCAACGTAACGTAAAATTACATTGTTGAAGCTGCTGCAGCACAGATGATGTTACAATATTGTATAGCGTCCCTAACAGAATTGATTTATTACATTGACTTTTTTCATGTTGAAACATTTCAGCTGAAATTAAGATTTTCCACTATTTTTCTTCCTTATTAAAATAGTTTTTTCTATTTTATGGGTCATAGATTAAACCCACCAGCGCGCTTCTCAAGGCATTAATGCACATTTCTCGCATTAATTCCTTAATCTATTGAACGTGATTAAATATAATTATTTTATTCTATTACTTCAATGATACTCAACTTCTCCTATGCTCACCAGCCTTTTTCTCAGGACCTGCCTTTTTTCCAGCTACGGATCTCACAACTATTTCAACAGGTCTCTCTTTTCCAAAATATTCCTGGCTTTCCTAAAAAAACCTGTTAGTATTTTTTCTCACATTTTTCCAGCAATTTTTTTTCTTAGAATTTACAAATTTCCTCTTTCAATTCCTTGTATTTTTATCTGACTATTCCCGTCAGTTCTCTTTAAATGCCTCGCCCAATTTTAGAACTTCTCAGAACTGTGCTGCTCTCTCAAGTTCAGCCGCGGCTAAACCAAGGGCTTAAATCAGCCGCGGTTTTAACCTCGAGTTGTCCTTACGGCTTGCGGCTCAAGGTCCCAGCTTCCTGTAGGCTTTGATGGAAGGTTTTTTTTTCAACCTGACAGACGGCAAAATTGCTTGCCGGTTATGCCGTGACTTGAGAATTTTGATGTGTTAAAACACGACTTGGTTTCAGAGCGATGAATTTTTTTGAAACTTGAATATATACAGCCTTGGTGAGTTTTCTACGGTGATAAATTTTGAGACACGCAAAAATACGTCCTTGATTTAAGGCGGTAAATTTTGAGACGTGCAAAAATACGGCCTTTATTCCAGGCAGTTATTGGTATTGTTATCTTACTAATTTTCTCGAAAACGGTTCAGAATTCACCGAATAACGAATTTAAACGGAGTTCGCAATTCGATGCCTTTTTTCTTGGGAGTTGACAACAAATTTTTCATTTTGATTGCTTATTGGATCAAATCACATGAAAAAAATTTTTCTTAAAAAATCAATATAAACAACGTAAAAAATATCACAATTGATTATAATCTATTCAAAAAAACATATTCCGTAGCTTATTCGCTGTAGCAAAGCTACAGCGACTTTCCAAATTATGCCCATTGTATTCCTCCACCTCCACGGCTGCTATTTTCAGAACAGGTTTTGATGAAAGCAAAATAGTGCTTGCAACCCCGTGACTCGTCGTGCTGCAAGATGGCTCTTAAACTAGTCACTGCCCCGTGACTTGCAGTGCTGCAAGATGACTCTTAAGCCAGTCACTGCCCCGTGACTTGCAGTGCTGCAAGATGTCTCTTAAGCCAGTCACTGCCCCGTGACTTGCCGTGCTGCAAGATGGCTCTTAAGCCAGTCACTGACCGGTGACTTGCCGTGCTGCAAGATGACTTTTAAGCCAGTCACTGCCCCGTGACTTGCCTTGCTGCAAGATGGCTCTTAAGCCAGTCACTGCCCTGTGACTTGCCTTGCTGCAAGATGGCTCTTAAGCCAGTCACTGCTCCGTGACTTGCCGTACTGCAAGATGACTTTTAAACCAGCCACTGCGTCGCGACTATCCTTTAACAAACAGGCAGGATGAAAAGGATGTTTGCCCAGACGAAGAGCTTGCTTCATTGACCAAACATTGGACCAGGAACGTTTGAAGGCTATGAGGTACTTGAGCAAGCAGGTCCTGCCAAATTTAGTGAGATAATTTCGT